TGTGTATCTCACATCGGGCAGAGGGCCCCGGGGCCGCTGGGCTCTGCCCTCGGGCGTCCCCTGAGCAGAGCAGCAGCTGCCGGGCCCGGGCTGCACAGGGCGGGCTGTCGGCGATGGGTGTGGGAGCGTCTGTCTCAGCTGTCGTTATCCTCCTGGCAGCGCTGGTTGTGAGTATTAACGTAGTTGTAATTTTTGTCCTTTGTAATGTTTCGTTACGTAGGTGAGAAGAAGCTCGGTACGGTGATCACTCCCGATACGTGGAAAGATGGTGCAAGAAACACAACAGGTAATCTTGGGGAGGTTTGTTTAACACTTGTTCTTCAGGTATCTTAAAGCCAGTTGGGCACCTGAGCTATCTTACAATCTTAAGGCTAAAATCTGTCACAGTTAGTCGGGTTAATTTTTAAGTCCTGTAGTTCCCTTGCTATGATGATTTAATGCATTGGGAATTTGTTTACCCCAAGCTTTTCAGTATTGAGATGTCTGTGTTTTTTTCTCCTTGTATGGAACGATGATAAGCAAACAGCACAGTATAAAGTATTCTGCTGCCCTTAGGCTTTAATGCTGTGTCATATGGTTTACTTCTCTTTCTGGCTGCATTTGCACGTGTGTAAGTAAAAGCTGTTAAACCAAGCTTTTTAAAGTACACTTGGAACCGGATAATTTGTTGGTTTATGGTTTTATTCTTTTTTGTAGAAAGTGGTGGTCGCAAGTTAAATGAAAACAAGGCATTGACCTCAAAGAAGGCAAGGTTAGTATTTAATACTGATTTTGGCTAAAAAAAAGTGTTTGCTGTAACTGAGGCCTGTTTCCTGCATATCTGGGTAGGTGTTCAAAACTTGCCCAAAATACACCTTTTTTTTTAAAAAAAAAAAAATAAAAAAAAAATTGTAGGGATTATGACATTTGATTAGTTGGTAAAAGTATGTCCATACATATTTCATGGGTACATTCTGCTGAATCATAGAGCGTGGGCAACTATTTTACTGCAGTTCTCATGGAAATTGTAAGGGTTTGATGCTTTTGTTAGGAGAGGAGCTGGAAAGGCTTATTTTCTGTGCTAAGGCTGCGGGTACAATATCTTGAAAGTTTCCTTAATGCCTGGGGGATGTTCTGTAATGCAAGGGGGCAAGGCCCTGCTGGAAGGTGTTTAAGTTCAAAAATAGTCTAGTATCTCAATAAAAATATACATTTTTCGTTCTGCTTTTGTTAAGTTTTTGTCCGTAATGCATGAAATCTCTCTTAATGGGGAAAGTGGAAGCTTTTCTGTAAATACTGTGCAGCCTATTAGAAGTAATCCTCGTGTGTCCCTTTTTTAAATTCTAGTTTTTGCTGGAGTTTCTGTCTGGGCCCTCTGGCTTTGACTTTTTAGGATGAGGTAGAGGAAATACTTCAAGGTGTATAAATAAAATGCTTTCCTTTTTCCCAGGTTTGATCCTTATGGAAAGAACAAATTTGCCATATGTCGGATTTGTAAGAGTTCTGTCCATCAGCCAGGGTCTCACTATTGTCAAGGATGTGCCTATAAAAAAGGTGAGTTTCACCGAGTACCAAATTTCCCCAATTTAGTTTGAAATTGGAGAGCAAGCGGAACTCTTGAATTTTGTTTCACCCTACAAAGAGAAGGCTAAGATGAGATTTAATTGCTATCTTCAGCTACTAATAGGAGGGCATAGAGAAGGTGGAATCAGACTCTTCTGAGGTGCACAGTAACAGAATAAGAGACAATGCACACAAGTTAGAATTGGAAAATACTAATTACATATAAGGAAAACAATTTTCACCATGAGGGTGTTCATATATAACAACAGGGACCCACAGAGGTTGTGGAATCTCTGTGAGAGGTATTCAGAGCTTGACTTGAAAAGCCCTGAGCCAGCGTCATCCAGGTTGTCCGTGTTTTGAACTGGTCAGGGGCAGGACTAGAGACTGCTAGAGATCATTTCCAACCTTGGTGATTCTGTGATTCTTCTTTTAGAATGCTTCTGATATATAAGCAGTAGAACTGAAAGAATAACTGTAAGCTCAGTCTTGGCAGTTACATAGAAAACTGTCACCTAGCAAGCTTGATTTTTCTTGGTGATCAAAAATGAGAAAAATGAGATTTTTGTAAAACTCAATTGGTCATTGCAATCTTTCATCTGCTCCCTTCTCCCCTCTCCCCTTTCTGTAATAGCTAAATCTAAAACTCTAAATAGTGGCCTCAAAAAAAAAAACCCAAAAAACCAAAACATCTACCCCCCAAAAAAACCCCACAAAACAACATAAAATCCAGCTTCTGATCCTGGTAAAGCAATAGGCTAGCTTAACAAAAGTAGAATATCTGAGGAATGAAAGGCAAAGAAAAAAATAAGTTATAAAAGCAATTAAGAAAGTATCTCTGAAGGCAAATCATGCTCGTGGTTGTCTTTGTGCCTGCATGTATTCTTATGCATTTAGTGGCTTAATATAGCCATTTAAAGATTTATTCCTCTAGAAAGAGTCTCCGGTCCTGTTGTGAACATGCTTAATGCATTGTAAGTCAAACCTGGCTTAAGATGAAACAGAAAAATGAAAAAGAATAATATAATCATCATGTGTAGAAAGCAAGATATTGCACTGTGCAGTACATAGTATAGAAAATCTTTCTGTACTTATGAGTTATGTATGAATGACTGCATGGAAATTCTGCTTATAACTGGAAGCTTTCTATCTCCCATATTCATAATAAGTCTTCAGGATTGTTAAAAACGGTTTAAAAGTTCCTGAGGGGGGAAAAAAAAATCAACTTCAAGCAAATTTGATGGAGAGCATTAAGGATATAAAACTTGTATTAGTCTTGTGATTTTTAGCAGGTAAGCAAAAGGGCTCAAAGTTGTAATTCCTGGAGGGGGAAAAAACCAACATGAAACTCACATTATTAATACAGAGGAATCCATATAGCACACAGACATGGGGTGAACCGCTTGCTAGATGTAGAGCTACAGCTAATCAGTAGTAAGTTTTGTTTATGAAATGACTTTTAATTCTTCGATAAATGTGCACTGAGTCAGTGGTTTAGCAGCCTCCTGTAGGAGGGTTGCCTTTTCTAGTTGCTAGATGCTCACCAGATGTCTGCCTGAACCCTCTATGTTAGAACCTTGTTCTCGTTCTTAAATTTATGGCTGGTTTGGGTGGGCTTCAGGGTTTCATCTTTGTCTGTTTGTGTATCCTTTCAGGTTGAATCTGTTTTCTTCATAAAATTCAGAATTTTAAGTGCTTTAGCTTCTGGTTCTGACCAAAGACTGTGGCACGTTTCTTGAAGCAAATGCAATCATATGGCTTAGTGCTTCAACTGTTGGAACATCTCTGACATTGAGAGGCAATCTGAAGTTAATTAATCCTCAGTTTAGACCTGAAGTGAACAGCCTGTGGGCTGGATTTTGCCCTCCAAAATAAATCATGTGACATGTTCCCTGCTGTTCCCTTTCCTAATGGACTCCTAGATAGGTGTCCAGTCACATGATTTGGAAAGAGTTAACAGGAGTAGTTGCCACTTGACATTTTTTTTTTTGTCTGCTAATGAATGGTCTTGTAAAATGAGATGTGGCCCTGCCAGGCAAAAGATTTAGCATCTTTCTGCTTTAGAAGAAGAGGGGAAACATTGAGACAGCCCCTGCTTCTGCCCTTGCCAAACTTGTGTACCTGCTGCTCTAGTCTTCTGACTTGCCACTCTTTGGGTTTAGGTTAAAGTCCTTTGGGAAATCGGTGATTATCTTCAACATTCAAGTATTCTTTGTGTCCATTGTTTCTCACTTCTACTACTCTATAAATAGCTTAATTCTATGAAACCTGTTCTTCTCAACTTTCTCAATGGTCTGAAGCTCCGCACCTGTTAATCTTACATTTAGCAGTCAGTTTGTTGGTGACTGTATTTTTTTAGCCTAGCTACTTTCTGTCCATATTGGGCTGTCATGGTTTGAACGTGGCTGGTAGCTAGTCACCAGACAGCCGGCCACTTACTTTTTCACCCCTCCCCAGTAAAATAGGGGAGGGACCAAAAAAAGGGAGAATTCGTAGGTTGAATAAAAAAAACAGTTTAGTGAAAGTAACAAAACAACAGTAAGTCCAAGCAGGTAATACACAGTGTGGTTGCTCACCGCTCAGCGACCAGTATGCAGTTTGCCCCCAGCAGCAATCCCGACAGCATGAAAAATCCCGCCGGGCTGACCAGAGGAAATGAGAGAGCACCAGTCTCCTTTATATACTGAGTTGAACATAAGGTCACATGATATGTAATACTCCAGTGACTGATCTGGCCTGGCCCTCTAGCTGTGCTCCCTTCTCGCCCATGGAAACTCTATCCTGGCCAAAACCAGGACATGGGCCTTGGTTTGGTTACAGGACTTAGAAAGTTTAATAATGCACCATTTTTACCTGTTTGCCAGATGGGAGCCTTTCCTGGCTCTCTTCCAGTATTCCAGCAAATTACAGAGGCTTCAGGCAGTGCTGTGAATCATAATGCTCTCAAAATAGAGCTTACTATTTTTTTAGTGGCAGTGTTACACATATGCTATGAATACTAACTTGTATTAGAAGTCATATTATTCTGAATTTGCAACATCTGGTGAGAAAATGCACAGATAGATTGCCAGTGAGAGCTCATTTAAACAATTTTTTGAAAACTGCCTTTACAAAAACATAGCAACTATGTTTTTGATTAAGAACTTAAATTATTTTAATAATTAACCACCTTTTGTGTGCTTATAGGCATCTGCTCAATGTGTGGCAAGAAGGTCTTGGATACGAAGAACTACAAGCAAACTTCTGTCTAATTGTACTGACTAGTCTTTTTATGAACTTTTAACTTCTGTGTCTTTGTACAGTAACTTTTCTCTAAAATAATTTGTGAATATTATTTTCTGGAATATAACATGTGTACTTTGAATGAGATGAAAGGGAAAAGACCCTGATTGTTTGTCTAGGAATGTACATAATATTTGATTTTTTTGTTGTTTTGTCACTAATGTTAACTGATGTTTAAAGGTAATGGTTTGCAGCAATGGATACAGTTAAAAGTGATTGAGAAGATCCTAAGTGGATAGGTTGAAACTATGTTACCATCGTAACACAGATCTTTGAGATTAACACTTATTCTTTTGCTGTAGCTCGAGTCTTCTGCTTGTCTGATAGTAATATTTTATAGATGAATAAATTATGAGCTTATATCACCTCATTAAAGTATTGTCTTCGGTATTGTCTTCATTAGTTCTATGCTCATAGGTATTTATTACTCTCAATCCAGACTATTACATCGTCCCCACTAACTATTGCTCTTCAGATTTTAATGCAATTGTCCTGTTGAATTTTGTTTCTGCCTACAGTAGTGTTGCTTAAATCACGAATTGTTAAATTTACTGAAATCTAGTGTGTTACTCTGCCAGTTCTTACTTTAGCAGTAAGACTGATTAGGTATTCCCTTGTTAGCCTCTAAGGATGCTTTACATATGGCATCTGGTGGCCCAAGGCAATAAAATAATGAGCATCAATTTCTAATGCCAAGTCTCAGTCTCGTCATTTTCTAAGTTAGTCTTGCTTTTAAATACTTGGTTTGAAACAGGCTCTTGAATTCTATGATGTAATTGCTTATATACATGTCAAATTTGAAAGATCAAAACAGGCTGCCTGCCTTCCAGCACTGGTTTGATGTAAGACTTTAAGTGAGTCTCTGAACACAAGAGACTGAGTGAGTGTGGCTCTGCATTTCTTTTGTCCTTTTTTTCTACGTAACAAAGCAATTTCTGTTATGGAGAGCAGTAAGTGTTCACTGTGCATTCATTTTAAGGAGAAAAAATGGTACTCTTAATTCATGGTGGGGTTTTAACTAGACCTATTTAAGTGTTTACTCCTCCCAGCAGCCTCCTCTAGGCAATCACTTATGCTTTTGCAACTTTCCTTCAACTGTAACAGGAAAACCATCAGTGGGAGTTTCCCTATGAATAGATACTCTGTTTAGGTTTCCTTTTGTTCTCATACCTATTACTGAGACAACTACATGAATAATGGAGACTGAAAAATAGCTGTTCTTTCTTTGTTAGTGGCAGAAAATAAAGAATACTGGGGATATTATATAGTTATTCTTTTTACTCTTAGCTCCTGCCTGTGGTTGTGCTCTAAGTAGCCCACTAAGGGGGATTGCCTGACATTTCCTGTCACCCTTAATTATCCATTATTGAGCATTTGTCACCAAAGTTTCATGTTCCAAATGTTGACATCCTGCAGTTGCTAAAACAGTAATTATTTTCATCATTTTATATCTGCTAAGAAGTTTTGTCGGGATAGTGGAATGAGCTAGGTCCCCCAAAAGAAGAGAGGAATGCTGCTGCTATTAATTTGAAAAGCTTTACCTACCTTAACAATTGAATGGAGGTATGTGGATCAGCTAGCTGGTGATAGCTGGCAGCCTGCTAAGTATGTTTCCAAACACATCAAGGAATTCTAATTTTAGTCTACATCTCTATGGCACATCCTTTGGATGGATGAAAAGAAAATGTCTGTAGTTGGCTTAAAGTGCTTTCAGTAGAGTGTGTGGCAATTTCGGGTGGCAGGTTTTCTGTTATTTGCTGAACTCTTCACCCTTTAGGGGTGTGTTCTATGACTGGTTGATTTTTGCTATTCTGTGAATAAACTTCTTTTCTGGTCTTCCTAAAACTTGCCAGTATCTTTATTTCAAAAGCATTACTGTTTGTAATTGTTGAATACATGTTATGAATTGAATGTTTATTACAGTCTGTAAATATTGGCGCTGAATGAACTCTTATTTTGTAACTGATTTAAGAGCAACAGGGATTTAAACAATATGATCTTTGTTCATAATTATTTTGTGAATAGAGCTTTTATGCACCTGTATCCTATTTCTGGGCAGCTGCTTTTGCATGTTAGAATGCATTTTGGTTGGAAAAGGAGGACAGGTTTTGGCTTAGGTTTTGTTTTGTTTTGTTAGTAGTCAGTACAAACTGGTTTATTCTAGTGGTTTGTACAGGCTGGGGACGTTCCATCTGTGGCTCTCAAACCTTCTTAGGTTTGTGAGAGGTTCAGTTCCTGAGATCTGTAAAATTTGTCAATGTAACTGTCAACTTTCAGAAAAGCCCATTTTCCAAGCATTGTTTTGGAGACCTATTGCTTTAAACTTAGATCACGGGCCCTCTCCTGCACCTCTGAGGTGCACCACAGTTCAAGCTAGTCTTGTCAAAGAAGCACCTAAAGTTAGCTTTTAAACATACATACACTTTCAATACAACTGAACGGTCATATAAAAGCATTTTTGATTATACTAAAAATATCCTGTGTACGTGGAACACCTTTCCTGAGACATTATGCAGTGAAAAACAAAAGAAAATCTGTAATCGAAAGTTGCCGTTTTTGTTTAATGTACTGCGAGGAACATATTAATGTTTCCAGATGATCAGACTGTCCTCTAAATCACAGGTTATGTAAGAGATTTGTGCTGCCAAATTTAGTAGGATTAGAGTTTTCCTTAGCACTGCTGAATTCCTATACTGTCCTTGCTGTTTCTGTGTGTTCTATGGCTAGAGCTGTTACTGAGTGTAACATTTTGATGGAGATTATAGAGAGAAAAGAACAGACTAGCTATGAAAATGTTAGTTGTCTGTAGCAGCCGGTCAGATGAAAATTGAACAGGAACTGTTGAAGGGTTCTTGTTGTGTCAGGGTGTTCTCACATTCTTCCCCATCCTTACCATTTGTTACTGTGATGTTTCTTTTGTGTTATTTTAAACCCTGTTCTTTATGCTGCAAAAGCTGAAGAAAGGACCATCGGGGATAGTCATTTGGCAATACTGTCCCAAGCCATTAGGACTGTTTTAATTGTTTACCTGTAGAAATGTGGCAGGTTTTTCTCCCTCTTGGGTTTATTATGTTCCTTCATTATCAGAAGGATAGCAAGAAAGACATTGTTTTTTATACTGGGATGTTACTGACCACTTTGCATTTTTCTTGAGAATGGCCTGGACTTGCACCAAAATCTCATATTTATCAAAACAAGAGATACACAGGTTTCAGATTGTAAGTCTTGCACCTACATGCTTGTTCTGGTATCACTGCTATCATCAGCCCATCTCTCCACAGTGCCTGAGGTTACACACTAGAGTTCTGTACTAGCTGAGCATCGCTCTACTCAGAGACACTGAGGTCAGGACCCTCTGCCAATCTCACTGTCTTGAATTCTGAGCATGAATGAGTGATTGCCTTTGTATTTTCAGTGGAGATAAGAGGTATGTGCAAAAATCAAATGCCAATAGACTGAATTAAGCAGCTGCACAGTGTAATTCAATGAACCATGTTGCTGTATTTTCCTAATACAAAGCTGTAAGTTTCCCAGCCACAGAAAGAATCGCCAGCATGGCAGATTCATTATTCATCAAAAGACAGTTAGACAAGAGCAGGAGCTGTGGCTCTTCACATTTGGTGTGGCAAAACTTGGTTTGTGATAGGGCCTCTATGCTGAGAATAAGATGCTGGGGCTAATAAAGTCTTTAAAAACTCCCTTGGACAAGTCATTGTTTCACCTGGATTGAAACTGGGCTTCCTGATCTCCTGTAAGTATATACAGCCTAAAGATGGACCCTTTTCTGTCATTTGCTTTGGCTCTTGGAGAATCCAGGACTGTCATTTGGGATGTTTCTGCCCAGTCACTGATTTACCAGTTGCCTAATAGACTATTTACTCTGTGAGCATGGGTTCAGCATGGAGCTTACAGGTATCTCTCTTGCTTATAGTATCTTACCAGATCCTGGTTTAGAAAAAAATGTGGCAGGGTGCAAAACTGCTGGTGACAGGACGATTCACTGTGAATATCATGAGAGAATGGACACCTTGCCAATCACAGCTGAGGTTTCCTATTAGGCAAAAATAGTTTTGCTCTCCCAATTAGCAGAACTGGTTGGACAATCTGATAAGGCATGATGGCAGCCCTTATGAATAACAGAGCCAAATGTTTCCTTAGTAAGGATTATAAATGTGCCTCATGTGAAGACCAGTTGGTGTTGAACTGTTTGTCTTCTTCCCAGACTTGTGCTTTTATGGAAGAATTTGTCATCTGAAATTCATCAGAAGCTGATTTTGCATCAGCTTTTACGGGTGGGGGCCATGGCTCCCTTTGCAGAACTTGCATGAGGTATGCATGTGTTCATCGTGTCTGGCTAATGTCTGCAGAAAACGTGAGCTCTCTGTTGACAGTGAGTGCTTCCTTCACCCACTTAAGGGCAATGGGAACAGGTGTGTTGAAGGGACCTGGAAGAATCTGTTTGAAATCTTGCCAAGAAACTGAAGGAAGAGCTGAGTGGAGTGTTCTCCATGTAGGTATTGCTGGTAAAGATTGCTTTCTTACGTGGTTCACGAAGATAATTCTGACTTACTCTTTCGCTTTGCTGCCATTCATTTGCAATAAATAGCAAGTAGATTTTTCAGGTACCACTGAACTGATGGCCAGGTAACTACCTAATTAAGCAGACATTTTCAGATTGGCTTTCTAGCGGAAAAACTCTAGAAACTAATCCCTCCTTCCTGTCTCTCTGCACTGGAAGATGCAGACTGAATTTAGCAATGTTAGCGTTCATTAACTGTAAGCACTTCCAGCAAATGCACTTACTATATGCTCGTCTGCCAAGTAGTATTGGGAAAATAAATGTTGATTTTTTTTTCCTGCCTCATCATAGTAATGACAATTAAATATCAGTATTTTTAACTGTTTTAGGTCACATGCAAACACACAGAACTCACAGTTGCAGTATTCTACTGGCTAATGGGTCTCATCACAGGCATCTTAAATACATCGTTATCCATCCAGTCTTCAGGAAATCATTCCTTGCTGTTAATTTTCTCTTACTCCTTTTGCTGCCATAGAAGGTAAAGATTTTAAGTTTATAGAGCTCCCAGACTGTGTCATGTACTTTTACTGTTCTGGTATGTTTACTACTGTTCAGTAACACATTAGTGCAACTGAGACTGTGTGATGAAAGGCATGGCTCTCAGGGATCTGGCATCTAGCCCAGTCCAATTGCCATCTTTTATTGATTAAAATATTTAAATGCTAATTGGATTAAGCAAAGACTTTACTCCACTGTCTTAAATCTGTCTTTTTATGGAAGGCTTTTGAAAAAGTGATGGCAGAACATTTCAGTGATGAAAGGCTTCCAAAATCATTGTTTCCTAAAGGATGGGAAGTAAGCAAAAGTGATATAAGGGAAGAGTTATTCTACTGATTTTCACATTTGTTTTGTTTTGAGGTAGTCCCTACTTATTAGAGTTTCACAGAAGTCTTCAAAAGGTCAGGCATATTTTGTGTATGCAGTGCTGTCAGCCTGAATTCAAAGAGAGCCTGAAGGAGTGCTTGAGAGATTAGTCGCTCCAATCTTAAAATGGATCCTTGTTTGGATAATGAAATATTAATAAGATTAATTGCTGCTGATCTCATCAGAATATGCAAAATCTAAATTCAGAAACTTACCAAACTGGTGCATTTCCCAGCCTAGGTTAGGAATAGTGGACATGTAAGTAGATCAATATGGATTTACACAGATTTGGTAGGGCTGCAGCGAAGAGGAAGAAGGCAACATCGTTCACGTGCTCCGTGTGGCATCCTGCAGAGTTGTTGTGGACGCTCCAGGCAGAGAGACTCCATGTGCCTATCCTGGTGGTAGCTAAGAAAAAAAGCGTCTGCTAGCAAGGGTAGCAGAATTCAGACTTTAGGAGTCAAACTGTTATATTTAATGTCTGTAGCAGATTCTAAAACATTACAGATAGTGAACTGTGTGAGTGAATCTTTGAAGCTTCTAGGAAAATGCTGTAGAGAATAGCAAAAGCAGTTAATTTCTTAAGATTTTGCTGATAACACCCCCATATCTTTCTGTTTTTTCCAGATTTCCTATTATAACTACCTCTCTGCACCTGGCTAACATACAAGCCTATGTTATTGCTGAACTTCGAGTAAGTACAGCATTGATAGTTGCACTGAGGAAAAAAATAGGCAACCAGGTACTGTAGTGCATGAAGAAAAAACCTCAGCTTTTAAAGACTGTCACATACATTTGTTATAAATGAGAAAACTTTAAAAATTACCTACCTTATCTAAATTTAAAACTAACGATCATGCAAATATTAAGGATATAAAGTAGCTTGCAATCTCTACCTTTTTATTCTGTAAAATATTTCTGAAGATTGGGGTTTTTTCTCAGAAACAACTGGGTACAAAATGACAGGTTTTTTTAAAGGTTAAATTTATTTAAGCAAGTAATTAAAAGTTTCAAATTCTTTACGATATAAGATTATATATGGCAAGGTCATGAAGATTGTTTGGAGGGGAGTATATATGTTAGCCAGGTTTTGACAAGTGCACCTGTCACATGCTAGCTGTGTAATGTAATTTTATAGACTGCTTTACCATAAAGTGTCATATGCTCTGTCTTTGTTCCTGCCTGTGTATTCGTGATGAAAAATCAATGCTTAGCCTGAAGGAGGAAATTTTAGTACTAGCAACAGAAAAAGTGCATGGAGTACAAATGCACACTTCTGTCATAGACAAATAAGAACCATTCAGTGCATTTGTCCAAGGCTGCCAAGGAAGTTGGTGTCAGGTTGGGGTTAGAACTCATTTAAAATAACTGTCATAAGTAGATTGCTAGGAGATAGCTT